TTTCTAGCTTATTAAGTTGGCAAAAAATTTTAAATTATAATATTCAATGCTAGATTGAGATTGGGAATATAAATCAGTGAAGGTTTTCTGGGGGAAAAAATAGCAAATATTCTAGAAATTACAAGTTCTTCAATCCACTAATCTCACTTCTAGAAATTTATCCTAAGGAAGTAACAAAACCAGTTCAGTCTTATATTTGTTCATTGTAACATTAAGTGAGGGGAAAACTAAAAAGAACTTAAATGTCAAAAATAGCAAGGTCAGTTAAGTAAACCAGTGGTAGTCATACAATGAGATGCTATTCAGGCTTTGAAAATTATGACGCAAGTCAGACATGATGAAGCATGTTTATAATTCTAGCTATGCGTGAGACTTATGCAGGAGGATCACAAGATAGAAGCCAGCCTTGCCAACTTAATGGGACATTGTTTCAAAACAAGAAACTTAATTTCTCTCCCAGCTATGTCATCCCATCTATACACTGATGAAATAAATTTGGCTCTTCCCAGCTAGCTGCTGAAATCTGCTCCAGATTTCTGTCCCTGTTCACACCTGAACAGGAATAAAGCTTTTTCTCTCACAAAGCCTGTGTCTGAGTGGCCTCTCACATGCAGTTTATAACAATGACAGCATTAATTTCTATGCATGTGTTGGGTTGGGAAAACTCAAAAAATATATAAATCAAAATGCTAATGGTAATTTTCCTCTGCCTTGCAGAAGTTGGGAAAAACTTCTTTTGTTTATTGCATATATTCTATTTTTCTATAATTACTATGTATTTCCTTTTTTGCTTTGTGTGTGTGTGTGTGTTTGTGTGTGTGAATGACAACTGAACTCGGGGCCTGTGCACTGAACTACATCCCCAGCCTATTTTTTATTTTATATTTTGATAAAAGGTCTTGCTAAGTCACTGAGTTGCCCAGGTTGGGCTCAAACTTGTGATCCTCCTGCCTCAGTCTCTGGGATTACAGATCTGCACCACCAGACCCGACTTACGCATTTCTTCTATATTTCAAACTCATACAAGAAGAGAAATTAAACTGAAAATGAACAATTCTGATCTTTAATAAACTCCAGGTTTCTCCAGGCATCAATTAAATAATTTTTCTTTCAGTAATGTTCTTCTGTTTTTGCAGAACTAGAAATCAAATCCAGGACCACACACATTCAAGGCAAATGGTCTACCATCCAGCTATTTCCCAGCCCTCAACTATGTAACACTTTAGGTGTTACACATTCTCATAACACCAGCAACAATTAACATTAACATTTGTTGACAGTTTATTCTGGGGTCTGTGCTAAACACATTTCCAACTATTTCATTTAATCCTCAGCTGCAGAAGGTACATACTGTTATCTTCATTTGATAGTCCAGTAAATTGAGGTGTACATGAAGTAATTCGCCCAGTTACAGGACAGAGTAGTAAGTAGCACACCTCCAGAATCTCTTCCTTTTTTAATCACTACACTATATTTGATCTAAAATCTAGAAAATCGAAAATCGGGCCAGTACTTAACTATGTTCTATGTGTGAGTATGTGGTCTATTTTGGAGAATGACCCATGTGCAGCTGAGAAGAATGTGTATTCTGATTTTGTGGGGTGGAAGACTCTGTAAACATCTGTTAAGTTCATTTGTTCAAGAGTTC